CTGGATGAAAGACAACATCTCTGTCAGGCAGAGTCACTAATACGGATGGGCACAAACTGAATTATGAACCAAATTTCATGACAAACTGGGCCGGTTTGTGTTTGCAAACTGCAATTTATGCAATCACGCTGTTCGTAAACCGCTATGGTTTTTGCAGTAGTTCAGTTCATAAGAGGGTTTGTGGGCCAGACATGCTGGTGAACAAGGCATCAGTCAGGAACCCTTTAAAGCCATGCCACCCCTGCAGCATGACTCACCAGTGAGCTCAGAAGGCATTAAAAAGGTCTCTGAGTTCACTGGCAAGTCATGCCACCACCACGGCATGACACAAGTGAACTCCAAAAGTATTTAAATGCCTTCTAAATTCACTTGTGAGAGCTTCTGCAGCTTTCACGGGGAGAGCAAAAGGCACCACTGAACTGGCTTGCATCTATTACATACAAGAAGAGAAGAGAAGAAGAGATTGGATTTATACCCCGCCCTTCACTACCCAAAGGTGTCTCAAAGCGGCTTACAAACTCCTTTCCCTTCCCCTCCCCACAACAGACACCCTGTGAGGTAGGTGGGGCTGTGACAGAAACTGCCAGAACTATGGTTTGCCCAAGGTCATCCAGCAGGTGCAAGTGGAGGAGTGGGGATTCAAACCCAGTTCTCCCAGATTAGAGTCCGCGCACTTAACCACTACACCAAACAAACAAATTCCCTTCTCTCCCCCCCCCCAAGCTTGGAAGCTGCACAAACCTCATGAACCTGAACCAGTTTGGTAAATGGAAAAGTTCATGGAGGGTCTACAAACTGTGTTTCATGAGAAACCACAAACCACCCCAAAGCTCCATTTCCCCAGTTTGTGCCCATTCCTAGTCACTGTTACTTCTCACTGCAGTTCCCATTGCCTAAGAAAATGAAACCAGACAATTTTCCTTGATCCAAAAGTGTAATATATAAAATCATACCATAATGCACCACTGGGAGAGCTTGGTTTGAGAATTATGCAGAATTTATGTTATCTAGTGGTGTAGGTGTGTGTGTGTGTGTGTGTGTGTTTCCTATATATTTAAAACAAGTTAACTAATGGGGAATGATACAAAAAATGGAGCTTGAAGCTAGATGGAGTCATGCCTACCTTATTAAAGAACTGAGGGCCAAAGTAGATGAGATGCTATCCCTGGCTTCCCCTGAGGAATGCATCTCCATATTGTAGAGTCCTGAAGTGTCCTGAAGCTAGCAAGGTCATGCTCAAGATCCTACAAGCTAGGTTTCAACAGTACATGGATAGAGAACTGCCAGAAGTACAAGCTGGGTTTCGAAGAGGTAGAGGAACTAGAGATCAAATTGCCAACATTCGCTGGATTATGGAGAAAGCAAGAGAGTACCAGAAAAACATCTACTTCTGCTTCATTGACTATGCTAAAGCTTTTGACTGTGTGGATCACAACAAACTAGGGCAGGTCCTTAAAGAGATGGGAGTACCAGACCACCTCACAAGTCTCTTGAGAAACCTGTATAAGGGCCAAGAAGCAACAGTTAGAACCGGATATGGAACAACTGATTGGTTTAGCATAGGAAAAGGAGTACGACAAGGATGAATATTGTCACCTTGCTTATTTAATATATATGCAGAGTACATCATGCAAAATGCTGGCCTGGATGAATCACAAGCGGGAATTAAGATTGCTGGGGAAAAGATCAACAACCTCAGATATGCAGACGATACCGCTCTAATGGCAGAAAGTGAAGAGGACCTAAAGAGCCTCCTGCTCAGGGTAAAAGAGGAGAGCGCAAAAGTGGGCTTGAAGCTCAACATCAAAAAAACTAAGATCATGGCATCCGGCCCCATCACTCCTTGGCAAATAGAAGGGGAAGTCGTGGAAGTAGTGACAGACTTCACATTCCTGGGATCCCAGATCACCGCAGACTGTGACAGCAGCCATGAAATTAAAAGACGCCTGCTCCTTGGGAGGAAAGCGATGGCGAACCTAAACAGCATGATAAAAAGTAGAGACATCTCCCTGCCAACAAAAGTCCGCATGGTCAAAGCAATGGTATTCCCAGTAGTCATGTATGGCTGCGAGAGTTGGACTATAAGGAAGGCCAAGCGTCGAAGAATAAATTCTTTTGAACTATGGACTGCAAGAAGATCAAATCAGTCAATCCTAAAAGAAATCAACCCTGACTGTTCCCTGGAAGGCCAGATAATGAAACTGGAGCTCAAATACTTTGGCCACCAAATGAGAAGGGAGCACTCACTGGAGAAGACCCTGATGCTGGGAAAGATTGAAGGTCAAAGAAGACGGGGACGGCAAAGGATGAGATGGTTGGACAGTGTCATCGACGCAACGAACATGAAATTGAGCCAACTTCAGAGGACAGCAGAAGACAGGAGGGCCTGGCGGGAGCTGGTCCATGGGGTCGCGAAGAGTCGGACTCGACTGTGCGACTGAACAACAAAAAGAAGTGTCTTTTAAGGGCATTATGGGGCCTGGTTCTGGACAACTCCTGCCCCATCGCATTTTTCTGACCAAAACAGCATGGGGGGGGCATTAGTTGTCTAATTTGGTCCTCAGAAAGCTGTTCCCCCCCCCAAGTCCAATCTTTAGCTTTTTAGCCACAAACCACTCCAGAGCATGAGCCTGGGAGTCAGCTAATCCTGAGCTATCAGCATTATTTGTATTTATTTATTTATTGTGTCAGCTCCAGCAGAAAGCCCCTTACACTTGCACGATGGGAATTGTACATTACTTGTACATGTTTAATGCCTTATTTTTTTTTCCAATGACTTAAATGTTTTCTGTTTGATGACTACTGTCTTTTTTTCTTCATTTATATAAAATATATTTTGCTGTCATTAAAAGGCCTGCTTAAGGAGAACAAGTTTTCACAATCAAACCATCAGCCTTTGTGGATGATGTAATATGTGTTTTTTCCTGATATTCCTGTTTCTGGTTTATTCAGGTGTTTTGCAAACATGCTTATGATCTGAGGTTCAAGTCTGCTCTTTATTTAGCTAGTGGAATGAAACATAAATATTCATCTTTTTAAAATTCCATATGGGAAAGTTTTTAAAAGGGGTGTGAACCTTGGCTGGTATAATATGAATCACTAGAAAACGATTACCTTAAATGTGATTGGGGCATCACAGTGATATATTTTGATTCTTCATTTTGAAGTTGCTTTATTCACCTGTCAGCAAGAGTTATAAAAGAGTATGTTTTGATAGTGAACTATACTTGATTCATTTTATTCACCAAAAGTTACATCATTTAGGGATACATCCCTATATGTGCCATGTAAGTTTAGAAGAACTTGTGTATTTAAGTGTGCGGACTCTAATCTGGGAGAACTGGGTTTGATTCCCCACTCCTCCACTTTCAGCTGCTGGATGACCTTGGGCAAGCCATAGTTCTGTCAGAGCTGTTCTCTCAAGGACAGTTCTGGAAAGAGCTCTCTCAGCACCCCCTACCTCACAGGGTGTCTGTTGTGGGGAGGGGAAGGGAAAGAAACTTGTAAGCCACTCTGAGACTCCAAGTGAAGGGCGGGGTATAAATCCAATCTCTTCTTCATCTTCTACATTTCTTTAAGAAACTAGTCTTAATTTTTTTCCAAAATATTTTTCTCAAATTTGTTTCATAAATAAAGGCAATTTAGCTGCATATTTGTTGGGGTTTTATGAGTATTAGACTGAATAGTTAGATCACAGAGTATTAATGAGAAGAGAAATTATCAGTTTGCTCACTTAATTATTTTTGAACATTCAGACTATTGAATTATGAATTATAAGAAGGCAGAACTGCATTTTGGGGGAATTACTTAAATGGCAATCAGCTGCTTGTTGGGTTCCATGTGCATTTTTTTCCAAACCTTTTTCCCTTTGGAACTTTTTATGCTACTAAAAATTTGCTCTTAAAAATCAGGGAAACCTCTGGTGTGATGTGATGAAATACCAAGTGCTTTATCTGGAAAGAGGAGATAAAGTAGTGTAATGTTCAAGTAGGATGGTGGTAGAAAGTGTATCTAGTTGGCTCGGTTCTGTTCAGGGGCCACCCCAAACCGGATTTTTTAGGTTCATACCCATCCCTAGTATCTAATGCTGGCATTATTACTGAAGATACAGTTATGTGGATGTTGATATATGCCATCCTAAACAAGCACAGCAGATGTGCTCATAAAAGCAGCCAAGGAGCCTTGGATCCAACCTCAGAATGCTTGGTTTTCTTGTCCTAAATTATTCCTTATTTAATGTACTAATTTTGTTGCATTCTTGAAGCCTTTTTGGGGGGCAGGGGAATTTATAAAGTCTTTTCACAAAGAAATCAACCATGAAATTATGATGAGGGGACACTAGCAGAGCTGGGGTGTGTAATAATGTATAGCAGCAAACTCTCACCTTGGTATGACTTTACATGTCATGGATATTTTTCTGTACTTCTACATAAGACCTTAGGGAAAACACATATTGCTCTTCAGAGTGAGTTATTCCTGTTTCCTCTTGGGAATTATCTGGGAATGAGGAGGGTAGAAAGCTTGTCTATGTAGAGGTACAACTGCTGAAGACTGTATGTCCTGTAATAACAGCTTTTTATCCTGACAACAGGGGGCACATTACTCCAGTTTGAGACTCAAAATATGTTTACTGTCTCTCAGAGCCTAGAATTCTTAATAAAGAGTAATATCCAAATAGTTTCCATTTGAGGCTGTCATTGTAGTCATGTAAAAAACAGAAGCCGGAATAATGGTTAAACACTATGATTTTATGTTCTTTTTCATTTATTCAATTTTAATATGTTGTTCAATTTTAATATGTTTTATCTCTGTAAACATTTTAACATATTACTTTGCCTCTTACACTTATTGCAAACTTTTAAAATCTTGAATTGTTCCTTTTTTCTGCTCTTCCCACATGGTAATTTGCTTGCTTCTTCCATTTTAAATTTCTTGATGCAATTGTGCTGCTAAAATAACATGGAACTTTGTCCCCTTACTTTCTTTTTGTATTTTCATAGCATGCCATGCCGTTTTGGAGGATCACAAGCCATTCTGACCTTATGGCCCTTCATCATGCTTTGGAACTGGAGTACTTATAGTAGCACTTTGTAATCCCAGAACTTTCCTCATGCCTATGGACAGTGTGCCTATGTCTTGTATCAGCACTGGCCTACTGGAGAACTTTGTGATTTCATCATGTTGACGTACAGCTGCAACTGGTCTTAACCTTTGCCCTTCCAGTAAGCGGAGGAGCATGTCTCTTTCTTCAGTAACAGCTGTTGATTCTAGTGCTGTGAATCCAATGAAAACAAGCCATGATGAGAATGTTTTAACAATGTGTCCTTATCACATTTGCTACATTGAAAGGTTCATACCTGTGAAGAGACTGGGGGGGGGCTGCTTTGAGGTTTCTAGACTCTTCAGTGTGGCACACATACCTTCTTATACTTCAGCAAACTTGATTGCACATCAAAGACTGCGCTTTTTAAAAACAAAATCCCATGGATACATTTCTTGAAAAAAAAGGTTTACTTTTTTTTAGTTTCTCATACTAAGGGTACTCTGTAAATCTTATTACTTATTTATGAACAGACTCTGTTTTGACATCATCACGTAAATGTGGATATGTATGATAGATGAAAGGCTATACTGAGTCGTTGCCTTCTGATAATAAAAAATATTTTGATTTTAGCACATGGCAAAGTAGTTTAAAATTATGTCTAATTTAAGCAAATAGGTACATCACTGAGACAATCGTGTACAGGAAGAATGTTTTTGTGTAAATTTGTAATGAATGGATAATGTTTTACATATTGTTTAGGCAAATGCTATTGAAAGGTAGTAATGACTTTCTGGTGAAGTATGAGGCAGTGTGTGCACAAGCTATTGTGCAGTGCCTTACTGAAAGTATTGTGTATAAACATGTAGATAATGGATTTTTTTTAGATCAATTTGTTAAGACCAAAAGCATGGATGTCAAGTGTCAATAAGGAATTGATTTTTATGCTTTCTGTTCTTTTCTCAGTTTTTTTTTTTCTTGGTAACTCTGCAATATCAAAATAACAGTGACTCTTTCCCCTCCTTATACCCTGCCCATCATGGAGTTGCTTCCCATCGGCATTTTGTGCACAGACATCCAGGTACAAAATATGTACACTTCATGTCAGTTGAAAATAGTGCACAAATTTAATTTGTTGCTTTTCTTGTTAAAATGTTAAAATAATATGCAGGCTTAATATTTCACTGTTTCAATGTACTTTTCCAAGAAAAGCAGAAAATGAAGCTTAAATATGAATTCTCAACTGATTTGAAGCACATGTATTTTGTGCTATATATAACTGAGTACAATCTGTGTAGCAAGAAGTTGCCATTAGAATCTGCACATCTGCAAAGTAAAAGCCATGTTCTGCTCTTTTCATTTTATTTTCTTTACTGACAAGATACTGAACATGGTAGAAATTAATCATTAAATTTATTAATTTTCCCCCAAAGGAAAAAGGATTAGAAAAAATATTTTATACAATGTCTCTTGCCTTTTAAAATAATAAAAGAAATTGTTCATGAACTCAAAAAAATAAAAACGAAAGCAAATAAGGTATTTAAAAGTAAATGCACAATAACTAGAGATAGGCTGAAACTGTTCTATTGGGTTCCATCTCTTTTTTTTTTTAAGTAACATTTTGGCAATTTTTATTCCTACTCTCCAAACAAGCAGTGTTTTAAAAGTTTATTTACTTGCTAAAATCTTTGAATTGTTGAAATAATACATAGAAATTTGTAAAAAGGAGGGAGGGCATGGCATAATGAGAGTTATAGGTTTTTTGGTAAGTACCAGACCTACCAAACACAACCCTGGCATAAGACATAGAGATATTTTGAAGGAGGGTAGATGATGATGATTTTGAGTTTTAACAGTCGAAGTTCATAGAACTCCCTTATGTTTACTGTGAGACCATAATGAAAGTTGCAGTTTTAGTGAGTCTGAAGCTACAATATAGCCCAAAATTAAAGAAAAGAAAAATTAAAGAAAATTAAAGAAATCTGCCTCTTCAGACTTTCAAGCTTTGGAAAAATGTGAGCATTTTTAATTGAAATTTCTTTTTAAACTTACAGTCTGTGATGAAATTAGAAACTGTTAAATAAAAGCTGCGCCTGATATTTTAAACTTCTATTGGTCCATTGCTGGCAATGGGCACAATAAAACAGTTATTGCCAATTTTGTTAGACTGCATTCATGTTCATAACCAGCTTATATTACATTTGAACTGTATTTGTCTTCTGTCAAATATGAAGACCATGAAAAATGCAATCCATTTTATTTTAGACCAGCGTAGACTTAACAGGAGATGACTGTTTTACCTGTGGTTGATGTGCATACCCTTCTCCCAGCCCATCCCCAGAGCAAACTCCTCCATCCCATCTTAACTGTAGTGAAGGCATACATTGACACTTATGTTAACACAGTTACAACTAACCAGGTCCAAGTTTAACCAAAATTCTTCTGCATCAGAATGAGAGGTAGAACTTTACAAAGGGGGAGATCTGGGAGGGGGGAGTGAATACACAGTCTCACAATCTCCTTCCAGTCTTACAACCACAGATGAGAGAGGCCCATTGTTATGTCTGCACTGGATTCATGCATCCAAATTATTGGTCTGAAGTTTGGTGTCTTTTTTTCACTGATGTCTTCATAAGAAAAAAAAAACCCTCAGCTTTTCTAGTTCTTTCTCCAATTTCTCAATTTTTGTTTTTTGCAAAATACACCAGCTTTTAAGCCAGCTGCAAGTGAAGAAACAGCAGTAGCTATGATGCAACATCCTCACTTTGTGGAGGATGTATATTGCTGCTACCGTTTATAATTATTTTGTGATTTTTTTTCAGATTGTTTGACTATCAAATATGGCCCCTTGTCTTCATCAACCATATTCACCAAGAGCAATCCAATTCAGGGACTATTCACAGTCTATGAAGTTGAGTACATACTAAAGTCTTTCAAAGACAGGGGCTGTAATTAGATGTAATATTTTTTTTTTGCTTCAAGCAAAATAATGATGGACAATTACTTTTTTCCTTGTTTTATTTTTGTAGTCATTATGTGACTAAAAAAAGTTTGTCTGGGCCTTATTGTACAAAAAGTGTGTTGTGTCCACAATACTGTACAGAAATTTTCCTCCATTCATTTTGTGTTTAAATTAATAAAATTGATTTGTGGCATATTAAAGACTTATCTCCTGGATGAATTTTACTTTCTCCATCCTACGCACAGCTGTTAAGAACATAAGAGAAGCCAATGTTGGATCAGGCCAATGGCCCATCCAGTTCAACACTCTGTCACACAGTGGCCAAAAATACAAGATGCCATCAGGAGGTCCACCAGTGGGGCTAGGACACTAGAAGCCCTCCCACTGTTGCCTCCCCAAGAACTAAGAATACAAAGCACTTGCCCCAGAGTTAAAAAAGCATCGGACCCAGTACTGAGCCCTGTGGTACCCCACTGCTTACCACCCTCCACTGAGAACATTTCCCATTTATACTCACTCTCTGTTTCCTACTAATTAGCCAGTTTTTGATACACAAGAGGACATGTCCTTTTATCCCATGACTGTTAAGCTTACTTGGGAGCCTTTGATGAGCAACGTTATAAAAAGTTTTCTGGAAGTCAAGGTAAACAACATCTATTGGGTCCCCCTTGTCCACATGTTTGTTCACTTCCTCAAAAAACACTAACAGGTTAGTGAGAAAATCTTCCCTTACAGAACCCATGCTGAGTCTGCCTCAATAGTTTTTGTTCATCAATGTGCCTACTAAATCTCTCCTTAATAAGGATTTCCCGGATCTCCTCTGGAACCCTTTTTAAAGATGGGAGTGACATTAGCTACCTTCCAGTCCTCAGGAATGGAGGCAGATTTTAATGAAAGATCACATATTTTTGTAAAGAGATCCACAAGTTCACATTTGAGTTCTTTCAGAACTCTTGGATGTATGCCATCTGGGCCTGGTGATTTATCAGTTTTTAAGTTGTCTATCAGTCGTAGGACCTCCTCTCTCATCACCTCAATCTGACTCAGGTCTTTCAACACCCCTCCCGAAATCAGGGGTTCTGAAGTGGGCAAGCACTTCTCATCTTCCACAGTGAAGACAGAGGCAAAAAATGCATTTAGCTTCTCAGCCATTTCCCTATCATCCTTCAGTACTCCTTTTACCCCTTGGTCATCCAAGGGCCCCACTGCCTCCCTGGCTGGTTTCCTGCTTCTAATGTATTTGAAGAAAGTTTTATTGTTGGTCTTTACATTTTTTGCTATATGCTCCTCATATTCCCTTTTTGCATGCCTGACCACAGACTTGCATTTTATTTGCCATAGCCTGTGTTCCGTTTTATCAGCCTCACTGTGACTAGCTTTCCACCGCTTAAAGGAATCCTTTTTACCTTTTACAGCTTCCATTACTTTGTTTGTTAACCATGTAGGCTTTTTCTTATACCTGTTTGTGCCTTTCCTAACCTGCGGAATATATTTTATTTGAGCTTCTAGAATTGTAGTTTTAAACAGTTTCCAAGCTTCCCCAATGGTTTTGACCCTTTCTACTTTTCCCTTCAGTTTCCTCCCCACATGTCCCCTCATATCAGAAAAATTACCCCTTTTAAAGTTAAAAGTGGTTGTGTGAGTCTTTTTGGCCAATTCCCTATTTGTACAAATGTTGAACTCAACAACATTATGATCACTGTTCCCAAGCGGTGCAATCACTTTTACATCTCTCACCAGGTCTTGAGTGTTACTTAGGACCAAATCAAGGATCGCCTCTCCCCTGGTAGGTTCCATGACCATCTGCTCCATAGCACAGTCATTTAGAGTGTCTAGAAACTCAATCTCTTTCTCTCGACTAGAACACATATTGACCCAATCAATGTGTGGGTAGTTAAAATCACCTATTACGACACAGTGTTTTTGTCTAGCTGCTATCTTTAATTCATTCATCATTTTATAATCCTCCTCTATCTTTTGATCCGGTGGGCGATAACAAACTCCCAGTGTTAAGTTTCCTTTTGGCCCCCCTATTTCAACCCACAGAACTTCAAGAAGCGAATCCAATTCTCTTAGCCTCTCGATCTTTCTGGACTTTATACCCTCTCTGACATACAGAGCCACCCCACCTCCAACCCTTCCCCCCCTATCCTTCCGATATAATATATAACCGGGAATCACCGTATCCCACTGATTTTCCTCATCCCACCAAGTTTCTGAAATACCCACAATGTCTATTTTTCCCTCTGACACCAAGCACTCCAACTCCCCGATTTTACCTCGGACACTTCGAGCATTTGTATAGAAACAGCTGTAATTTCCCATACTGGTTAAGCCTGCCACCTTCCTCTTGCAATCTCGAGACCTTGTCAGGCAGTCCATGTCACTAGCCATGGTCTCAGTGGACAATTTCAATCCACCTCCCTGTAGAAAAGCAACAGCTATTAGCCACAAGGTATAGATAGGGACTCTGGGGCAAGTGATGCTCTGGTGCTTGGGGGGGTCAACAGTGGGAGGGCTTCTAATGTCCTGGCCCCACTGGTGGATCTCCTGATGGCACTGGTATTTCTGGCCACTGTGTGATACACAGTGTTGGACTGGATGGGCCTTTGGCCTGATCCAATATTGGCGTCTCTTATGTTCTTATGTTCTTATATTAAGACATCATTTCAA